TGTGTGAAAACTCCAAGGATGAATCTCAGGTCCTCACTGCTCTCAGGTCTGTGAACTGCAACATTCAGAGTTAAGAAATGTGCCTGCATGATCCATTTAGTCAATCATTGTATCACATGGAAGCTTCAAAGGAATAGAAAGCCAGAACTAGGGCTGTGCAATTAATCGTATATTAATCTCGATTTTGGCTTGCAACGATTACGAAAACAACGTAATCGAAATAAAACGATTATTATTTTTATTTAAAAATAAAAACATTTTTATAATTGGTTTGTCAGTTGAATTATATTTAAAGTTCAGGGTAATCAACTGTTAAAAACATACTGTTCACATTTGATTTTTCAATAAATGGATGTTTTCAAAGTAAATGGATAATCGTTTTTAATAATCGTGATATCAATTATTCACCAACATAATCGTGATTATGATTTTTGCCATAATCGCACAGCCCTAGCCAGACAGGCATTAAAGACACAGACACATGTGGACTTCCTTTTAGATCAGCAATGTGTTTAAGCTAGCAAGCAGTTTTAGGTTGGTTTCCTCTCCCTTTCTGACACTTAGCTACCCTTTGTTTTCACTGCGGCTTTAAGAACAGAAATAATACGTTTCTTTGTTTTGCTTATATTTTTAAGTATGCAGTGTCATGTGTTGAGGCTGTAAACAAAACATAATGGCAGAATTTCACACGTAAAGTGACAACATTTAGTATAGAAGGCTTAGGTGCTGCCGAGAGATTGTAGCGAGTCTGTTAGTTTTCCGTACGCCTCTATGATCCACTGACCTATATTCCCTGCTTCTCCACTCAAAGTGTGTCTCTGTATAATACAGTTAGTAGGTGAAAGAAAGGAGGTCAACAGCAGTTTCTCCATTCATCTTTTCACAGGTGTTTGGTTCGACTTGTGCTCTCCACAATTGAGAAATCGAGAGAGGAGATGAGGCAAGGGCAAGGGGAATTACCTAACACAGTCTGATTATACAGCAATATTGATGCAGCTTTATTTAAATACGCGTATTTACTGTCCATTTACTGGCTTACATTTCTCTATGTAGGAATGTGGATATGGAAGTCCTGCTGCCATATCTAAAGATGGGTGAGTACATATGAATCTTGGGTTGAATCGCCTTTCTGTGAAGACATTTCTTGCTGTTCGTCAATATAAATTACATATTTATTTTGCCCTTTCTGCAGCTCTGCAGAAAGTTTCACACCAGAGTCGCCTGACTGCTGAGAAACGCACAGAGGAAGCTAACTGGTTCAGGAAAATTGGTACAGACCCCCTCCTTGTCACTTCAATCTGACATGGAATGCTTTCGCTTAAAATGTTGCATCACCTTCACTTTGTCTGTGTGTCTGTGTGTGTGTCACAGCGTGGAACTCGGCTCTGCAGTGCGAGAGCTGCCCTGACAGAATGAGGGATTTCTTCGTGCTCTCATACCAGGCAAGTTCCCTTTTACGAGCTCTGTCAGGGTGATCAATCAGTATCTACAGTACGTGTGTGAATCAATAACAGCAGAACAGGGAGTTCACATATTGTTTTAGAAAGATAAACATATCAGTTTGAGATAAAGAATCGTAACGATCCCTTTGTCCTCTGTCTTCACCGTCAGCAGAACACCTTACTCTGTATTTCTCCATGAGATGGTATCTGAGAACAGCCCTACACTCAGAAGCTTCTGCTGTGGGAAATTGGGGTGTTGGATTATATTTTAGGGGTAATATTCAGAAGTTATTGTTGAATGAATAATGAATAATCTTTCCAAGTCTTTCCTACCACACATTTTCCAGTTTATCTTGCATTCAAACCCGCCTTCAGACCACAAGCCGCTGCCTTACTCTCTCTCTGAAACAGCCAGTGAATGGCGTGTAGCTAAATGTTAATATGTCATGTGCCTGAACCCGCAGCTCTCCCAGCTGTGCCCTCCTGATCGCACTCTGCTCATGGGCCAGAAGACGTGTCTGCTAATGGCCGCCGCCGCCTCTCTGGAGCTCTGCAGGAAATCCCCTCACTCTGGCCAGGTGTGCCTCCCACCCCCTCTGCCCCTCTCCCACATTTAGCACGTTCTCCATGCACATGAATGGAAATGTACCACATCACTGGTGCTGGTGTTGGTGTTTCATTTTGGTCCCTCTGCCTTTGGAGACAAAGTGAACACTAGATGGCGACGATGAATCCAGAGTGATTGTTCTGTCTCTGTCCACAGACTGAGGATCTCACTCAGGCTCTGGAGCACATTCAGATCTGCTGGGAGGTCTGGAAAACCCTGAAAGCTTCAGGTACCTCAAAGGAATAATTTACCACCTAAATGATGCTTTTTTTAATCAATGACTTACCCTGTGGTAACTTAAAAACCTTTGATTTACCGATATGCCTCCATGAACAATAAAGAAGAGTGGGGGGACTTCTTACACTTGGGCAGGCACATAACTGTTCATGCAAAAATATATATTTTGCTACCAAGACTTAAATCATTTCGCAAGAGTTGTGTCAAGATTTGTGACCCATTTTTCCTTAAATGAATCAAGGATGTTCTTAATTTAAGATGCTTTGTTCGATGTTTGAGAAAAACACATTTTCTTGTGTGAGCTATTTATTTACAAATGGTCATTTTCCAGTTGACATATTCATTTAGGTAGCTTTACTATCTGAATAAAAGCCATGTTTGTTATTAGCACGTCTTCTGTGAATCAAAATGGAGCTAAATAAAGTATTCCCACCGTGTTCTTGCAGGGAGTTTCCCAAAGGACCCGACCGACACGCTGCTGCTGCTCTACGAGTTTGAAGCCCGGGCGAAGCTGAACGACCCCAAGGTGGAAACAGTCCTGGAGTCCGTGTTGGAGCTGGAACACGTCGAAACCAAGGTGCTAGAAACCATTGCAGGTAAAAAGGAAAAACAACCCTTGCCTTTAAAACCCTTCACTGTCATCTCTTGCCTGCTGACGCCTAAAGAAACACACGTTTGAGGGTCTGCAGTAACATCTTCCCTCTCTCCATGCAGCCTTGGCCATGGAGCCCCCTGCCCACTACCCTCTGCTGTGCAAGAAGGCCTTGAGGGTGGCTCTCTCGCTGCACAGGAAGCAACCTCAGGCCGACCTGGCCCGCTGCAGGCAAGCCAATCACCGCTCTGCATGAAAATACCCTTGACATTTCATTAGCGATGCGTCCCCCCAAAGTGCTTATTAGGATGAACGTGTTTCTGACTGTGAGCCTGTCTCTGTGTCCCCGCTCAGGAAGTGTGTCCACAGCCTGATCAAGCTGTCCCTCCCGAGCGGCGTGTCGGAGGTGGAGGCCCGGGTGCTGGAGGAGGTGTGGGACTACTACGAGGAGGCCCTGTCCGTCATCGCAGCCGCAGTGAGTCAGGACCAATCACACAGCGCCTTCCCCTGGCACCCACCTCCTGCTCCCTCCAACAGACCGGCTCCCCGCTATATAATTAACCCCCTCTCCTCCACTCCATGGCCGCCTGCTGTTCTAGAAGCCTCTTTTTTATCAATGGGCTTTCAGCAGCACTTCAATTAGCAGATGCTTCCATTCACCACCCCCTTCCTGCCAATTTGAATGTTAATGTGCTGTACAAGTCATCGTGCTGCCGGTGAGCCGCCGCTCTGAAAGAGGCATCAAATGATGGAGACATTACCCTGCTGAACAGGCAGAGACTATTTCCCCTTCTCAGATGGAGTTATCACTGGAAAGCTTTGGAACTCTTTGGATCAAAGTGAAAGCCCGAGATTAAAGGAGTGTGTAGAAGAAGGAATGAAACTTTAGAAATGTTAAAAAACCTTCCAGTTTGTTTACGGTCTGTTTGAGACTGCAAAGGATTAGTAAAGGTTAACAAACAGGATTTGGGGAAAGTGACTCCCCACTTTAAAAATAAAAAGCAGATTTCCTTGCATAAGTTTGGCTTCAGTGAGTCACCCAGATGTCCTTTTGAACGTCTTCCTGCTCCTCTCCTCTGCAGCCGGACGACTTCCCGGAGATGGAGACGCTGTGGCTGCTGACGCGGGCCTGGAACACGGGGGTCCTGCTGTACAGCCTGGCCCAGTACCCCGAGGCTGAGAGGTGGTGCGGCCTCGCCATGAGCTTCATCCGCCACCTGGGGTCCCTGCAGGAGAGCTACGAGACAAAGGTACAGGACGGGGGAGAGGGTGTAGCTGTGGAGCATTATAGAGGAGGAATAGTCCTGCATGTTAGTAGGGGTCTGTTCATTGATCACTGATCCTAAAAGAAAACATTGATACACATGATCTCAAAACACGCCCTTATTTTTGAAATTCAGAAAAAGTATTTTCACTCAATGTGGCATACATGAAATGTCTGAAGGAGCCAGAAATAAAATGTTGAACTGATATTTAAGTTCCGTTTAGTTTGAGTTGTTAGTTGATATAAATGTAATTAATGTTGCTAAATGAGTATTTAATATTGTCTTATATTGATGGCAGGGCCCTGGATTTGTTTGAAATGGTGGCAGACTTTGTAACATCAGCTGATATCATGTAGTTTCCCTAAGAACCAATATATCTCATGGTGGTGATTTACACACCTACTGGTTATAAAGTGCAGAAACCTCACTGTGGACTTTTAAGAGCTCAACGGTTGTTTCTGGTGAACCCACAGATGTCTGGACTCTACACTGAAATCCTGGACCGGCTGGACCGAGCCAAGAAGAACCTCATCATGGAGGAATAACTGACCTGCTGTCAGCCCCGTGTTAACTGTGTCTGAACTTGATCAGTTACAGCAGCTCGTTCCAGCTAAATGTTATCAATGTTTCTGTTCAAATGTTCATCAGTTTCCTCAGTGTTTATGTCTTCTGACACACACCACATCCAGTCCAGTTTGTCTGCAGCCTGGGTCTTTCGTTCCCTCATGCTTCCTACCTTTTTCTACTGTCTTCCGTCAATAAAGACAAAACAAATGTGAATAATTGGTACCCTTATTTTCAAATCCACGGGGGGGGGGGGGGGGGTTTAAAGTGCAATAACAAGCGGATCAATATCATAACTGAGTCACATATTTTATTTTCAAACAAATAAACTCTTGTCAAGTCCCAAAATAAAACCCAAACAAAAGTTGCAGGACTGTTCCCTCATGACTAGGACAAGGAAGACCATGAGGCCGAGTGTCCTGATAGGCTGTACCACCTGCAGTGACAGGAAGGAAACTACTGTACAATCAAAGGGTTCATGTTTGCAAGCACTTACTGCACAGATGTGCTATAACATAAACATCATCACCCAAAAGTACAAACAAGAACCCTGACCCCCCCCCCCCCACCCAAAAAATAAAAGCATATGTCATCATTTCTCTCATCAGAACAAAGACCCTCATCAATTATACACACACAGAGGCATTCAGGTTCGTTATATACCACATCCTCAATGGAAAGAGTTCAAATGAAATCAAGTTCTTTGGGCTTTGACATGGCTGACTGAGGTATGAATACCACGCACATTGTTAACAGTCAGCTGTATTTCAACTAAACACCAGAGAGGACCAATGCTAAACTTCTAATGATGTATTGATCAATGCTCCTGGTTTCTGTGATATTGTGTAGGTTTCTGACTGCATCTCTTTCATTATTTTACAATATATATATTTTTTCAATCTATACACCCAGACACGTTCCACAAGAAATCACATGTAGACAGGCTCTACTCGAGGGAATTGAATTCCCAACTGACTAGTTAAGTTTTCCAATAGGCATTTGAAGAGAAATACCAACAATACAGCACATTTGTATGGAAATTATATCTCAAGAGTAGCTCAAACTTTACTTACCTGACATTTGTGGTCTATAAAACATGTTTTTGTCCCAGTTTGATTCACACATGCATGAAGCACAGGTGAGGGGGATCTGCTGGGGGCTTATTTACATTGTACAGCTACCACACCCTTTGAAACAGTCTGCAAGCAGTTTATAAATGGCTCTGTTCCCTTCGGTTATTCCCTGAACTCTGGTTTTGACACAGGTAATGACAGCTGGTTTAGCAGTGGTGCCTGGCAGGGGGGCACACCTGTTCAGAAAATGCCTGCAGGTACAGGTGCTCTGTGGGTGGGAGAGAGCAGGGGACCCAGAGGTCTCGGTTACCACTTCCTGTTGGGTCTGGCTCTCGAAAAACAAGGAAAAAAAACTTCTGTTGCACTCGTCAAGAAGCTGAGGAGGAAAAAGTTCACAGGATTGGGGGGCGTTCCACTTTTCTTCAGACTTACTCGCTCACATGCACACGTTAACAAACATCTGCATGGGGGGGGGGGGCAGTTTCAATCCTGGTGATGCAGCCGACTCAAAGGTTACCACGCCGACGGCCTTCAACAAGCTCACGAAGCGAGCGAAGACACCAAATACAGCCTGATTACGCCGTTAGGTTGCCTTTAGCTTAGCGACAGAACCACCATCAGCACTTCACACCTGACAGCTCTGAACCCTCCGCCCTAACGTGGCCTTTCAGTCGGGGGGGGAAATGGTATCTGTACGTGAGAGATTCCTGACGCACTAAGAGCTCGATACAGAGGTTCAGCACCTGCCAACAAGGACTCATACATGTATAGATAGGCTACACAAAGCATGTAGGTTTTTCTTTTTAATCAAACCCGACTTTAGTGTTATTTTTTGGTAAGGGGACAGGGGGACAATTCAAAAAACAGGTTATATTGACTCTTTAATCGTTAGGACATCCAATACAATTATTGTCTTGTTCTACCCGTTTTAAGGCCACCGTCATGGCGGCAGATAGGACAGTACCATGTGACCATTCAATCAGAAGAGAATCCTCTTGGAAGGCAGAGAGTGTAATCGGGCGGTCTGCTGCTCAACATGAGAAAGGAGGCGCTGGCTGGTCAAATTGTAATCCAATGGCCAAATTATTTCATTAAATAGGAAGAAAGGTTGAAATACGGGGGAGAAAAGGCACCCACGCGGGTGAGACTTTCATCTATTGCAGAGGTGAGACTTTGTTTTAACTATTGCACTCAAGTCAGGCCTCCTGGCAGTTGGAGGACACAAAGAAAATGGAGAAAAGAGGAGGGTATTTCCTCTCTTTTCCTAAATTGTGTGCGGCCTCCCTCACAGACAACAGGTAGTCACAAAACAGAATTTGTATTCGATGTAAGGCAGTTTGGTGTTTTGCAGAGAGCCCAGTTACACTTCTCTACCCCCATCCTTTACACAGAGCAGCTAAAAACCACAAGCAAAAAAAAATCCCACAAAGAAAGAAAGAGAAAAAAAGAAAAATGAAATCTAACAGCCCTCCAAATTGACAATTCTAGTGAAGTGTAAAATGTGTAGTTTTTAATATGTAGTAAAATCTCAGTGGGATTTTATCATTTATCTTGTGATTTCATAATATAAATGTAGAGATTCACAACGCATTTCTTCCTCTTGATCTGCCTCGCGAGATGTCTTTATCAGCCGCAGCGCAGGCGGCTGGCAGGCGACCAATCAGCAAGCTGCTTCGTGATAAATAGATCACCAGTTTGTCGGCTCCACTAATTTCCTCAGTCATTATAAACAAGAGACGACTCCTTGAACAGTACCATCATCAGGGCTCGATCTTATCCAGTCTTTTTAGAAAAAGAAAAAACAAACCTTTATTGGTCTTTACTTCTCGTCTTGCGTGTCTTTTTAAATGTGATTTGATGAACATTTACAAAGTGTTCCGACTCGGTATGATTTGTCTCTGGTTCACTGCAACTTTTCTTTTTGAATCCCGACTCCTGTAACATTCTGATCTTCAGTCAGTCCCAGTTCACAAAAGGATTTATTCCTTTTCCCTTTTGTTTTCATTTGACATATTCCTTTGGAATGGCATTTCCAGTCTTGAATGGATTTGTTGAGAAACTCATGCAGGGGTGTGCACAGTCACAGTAATGGTGATAAGACTTCTTTTTCATTTAGAGAGTAACATAATGATGACACTAAAACTTGATATGAAACATATCTGCAAAAAGGAGGTGAGGGGGCTATTTGGGCTTGGGGGGGGGGGGGGGGGTCTCTTGGAGGCAGGAGGGGAGCTCTGCAGCGCCGCAGAGAGGAGGGGGGGGCAGGGAGCTCAGAGCTTCTCTGAGGAGGGGATCCAGATGTAGGGCCCGGACTGCTCCTCGATGATTAGCTTGATTTTGTTGTAGATCTCCTCTAGTGAGTCACCCTGTACGATAGCTGGACACACACACACACACACACACACACACACACACACACACACACACACACACACACACACACACACACACACACACACACACACACACACACACACACACACACACACACACACACACACACACACACACACACACACACACACACACACACACACACACACACACACACACACACACACACACACACACACACACAATTAGTAGCTTTTCAGGCAAACATGGCTCTCAGAATAAAATAAATAAAATGTTGACATCTTATAGGAAAGGATTATCTTTACTAATAAAAATAATAATCAATAGGGTCTGGACCGTTAAGCTACAGTATTAACCAGGTTGTTGTTCGCAAGAAAAAAAGTTAAACATTTATTTTTAAGTAGTTTTTCATGCAAAAAAGAGTTTAATTCCTGTTTTTTTTGTTTATTTGGATGTTTCATAAAGTACATTATACCTGGAGGATCTGAAACGTTGATTGATTAATCAAGTAGTTGTTTGACAGACAATGAGTCTGCAATCTTTCTCACTAATTGTTTTTCAGTCATTTCTTTAGCTAAAGTGCCAAAGATCTGTATAACTCTTCTACGGCTCGTCTTGTGTGATGGACAGACAGCTGAACTGAACATGTTTGAGTCTTACATTTTAAATGTAGAATAGCATTTACAGATAAAATATCATTCAAAAAAAAAAATCGGTCCAAATCTGAATGTGTGACCCAGAGAGGGGCAGTGAGACTGACCTGTGAAAAACTCTCCAAAGTCTTGCTCCAGCTTCACCGCCTTGTCAAAGACTTTATTGGCCTGCTCGTACGTCTGCCTCTTATTCATCTCCCTGAAAGGAGAAAAGCGAAGGTGAGCGCCACACACACATTACATGTTAGACGCTTTTATCCAAAGCGACTTACATACTCAATACTGTGGGCAATCCCCACAGGAGCAATTTGGGGTGAAGTGTCTCAGGGACACAACGACATGCTGACTGCAGTAGGGTTTGAACCTGTGACCCCCTGATCCCAACACACACACACACACACTACAGGAGGGGAAAAAGCTCAAACTTACATTAGGGCTTCAATGGATTTTGGTTTAATAAAGATGGCAATCGGATAAAGTTGTGCTTGCTGCAGTCGTTTGATGGCGTTCCCGGACACATCCAGGATGCAGTGCTTCCCCTGCTGGAAGGGACGATCGGGGAAAATGTTCAAATCTTCTAGGATTGATTTCTTTTGAATTTCTCAGAAACGTTCAACATTTATAACAGTAATACTTTTATTTGTTGTAACATTTCAACAAAAATAATGAAACCATGTTCACTTGTAGATTAAGTGCCAATCATTTGTGATATCTAGGTTCTTTTGTTTAAAAAAAAAAAAAAACACAGATTTGAGGAAATAGTGAATATTTTCTAGATGAGTTACAAGCTCGGATCCTCCATGAATCCACTGTGCTCACCCGCTCAGCCACAGTCCGGACCGACAGTATGCTCGTCCCGTACAGGTTCTCGTTGAACTGGCCGGCCTCGATGAATTTATTATCCTGAATGTCTTTCTCCATTTGCTCCCGCGAGCCCACAAAGTGGTAGTCCTGTCCGTCCATCTCGTTCTCTCGCCTCGGACGAGTCGTATCTGCGGAGGGAGGAAGAGCGAGGTTATTTTCATCCCCGCTGTTTTGCTCAGTGGTTCTGTTTGGGTACGATTGTTGCTGTGGACTCACGAGGTACGCAGGAGCCAAACTTGTGGGGGAACTCAGAGATGAGGTCATCATTTACTCTGTCCTTCATCGGGCCCAGGATGATGACAGGCCTCGTGTAGTGGACTGCACGGAGAGGAATAAGGGAGGTGAGGGTGCATAAAGAAACAATCACTCGTACTTTTAGTTACAACTGTAGAGAAGGGATTTACTCACTTTCCTGTCGAATGACCGGCTCGTAGGAGAGAATCGTGTCCTCCTGTCCCTCTGTAAAAACAAAATCAAAAAGTTTACACCTCATTTAAAAAAAGAACAATCAAACTGGCATGGCTGATAAAACACCGGGAGGAATATTAATTTACAGTTGTCATTTCACAGGTAAAATGTTATTCATCCGTGTGGGCAGTGTGAAAGAAACCATGAGAAATGAAGGTGACTCACTCGAACTGCTTTCACTGTCACTTGTGTTGGATGTCAGGCATTCTGCAAAAGCACAAGAGAGCGAGTTGCAGATCATTTAATAAAAAAAAAAAAAAATTAGATTAAAACAGTAGAGCCACAGTGAAATTACAACTTATTCTCTCATCGGTGAAAATAATTTTTCACCAGACTCAACAAGAAAAAAAAGCACCTTGCTTCTCGACATGTAGGCCATTAAAAAGGGGGGGAATAAAGAAAGCAGGAGTCTTGCTTGGTGCGGAAGCCATGCTCTCGTAATATTAGGGAAGTGGTTTTAGGTGCAAGCAATAGGAAATTAAGTGTTTCCTGTGACAGTATCCCAAATGACCAACAATCCCCTGGCCAACGCTTCCTATTGCTAGATCTGTGCCGGATCTCATTTCAGGGAAAAGACAAAGAAAACATGGAGGCGTTCGGCCGTCCACAGGAGGGAGGCAGGCTGACTCGGGGGAGCGGGCGAGGGGGAAAACGTGTTTCCAACACGGAGAGAAACACTGACAGTTACACTCAGCTCCGTGTGACCTTATCTGACAAAACTCTGCTAACAAATTATTATAAAGTCCCCATGAGACATCCAGAATAAGTGTAACGCTCACTCAGCCTCACTTGTGAATGCATCTTTTTGTGAAGTAGTGTTTTTTGTGTGTGTGTGTGTGTGTGTGTGGTTTAGCATTCCCAGCTGGGTCTGTAGTGACAAAGCACTTTTTTCTCTGGGCTCAGGGGACAGCTGCTTGACACAGTACAACCACACACTTACTCAAACTCTTTGATCCATAAAAGTCATCGCTTAACCCTGGGAAGTCCTAGGTGTCCCGACAGGTGAGAGCAGAAACCAAGAGAAGAGAGCAGACAGGAAGAAGAAGAGGTTAGTGAGAGTCGGGGCGGAGAGGAAGAGGAGTGCTGCTCGCCAGGCCCGCTGACACACGCCGCTGTACTCATTACGCCTGAGCCCCACTTTGTTCATAGTAAGCCACGGCCTTTCAATGACACAGGCCCAATCCCATTAAAGTGGGATTTTGACCTGTTAAGTGTTAAAGCTTCCGTCCAGTTAATGAGATTCCTCTTGTTGTGGGTCAGTGACTGCAGGACTGATCAGGACTTATACAAGGAGCAGCATGGCCGTGTTGGGAGGGCCTGTGTGTTAACACAGCCACGCACACACACCCGGCTGGCAGCACACACTCCTCTGGAGCCCGTAGACAGATGCAGACACACCGGAGAGACCCCCCTCCCCCCACACAGCTCGATGTGTGTGTGTGGGGGATCTCTCCGGGACAGTGAGAAAAAGGGATGAGAGTGGTGCCGTCACACAAACCATCCCTTGGAGGTGAGCGGAAAGATGAGAGTTGAGAGACAGAACTGAAGCATGAAGGGGATAGGACGAGAAGAAAAAAAAGCCACAACACCACCCCGCCCCCCCTCCATCACACAGCGGGGGTACTCACGTTCGGACTCCACCAACTCCTGCACAATATTCTCCTTGCTCTTGTAAAACGGGAACTTGCGTGTCAGGTTGAAGCTTTTTTTGCGCTTTACTTTGACTGGCTGCTTGTCGATGTGTGGGTCAGAGACGGGCAGGAGGGAGGGGGGGGCGACGAGAGGGTGAAAACAAAAACAGAATGGGTTTCATTGAGGGTACTCGACACCCATGCAAAAAAAAAAAAAAAAACACAAATGAAATGCAAAACAAACAATACACATCAAATGAGATATGAGAAGCAGGTAATGGGTGGAAATGAATGGCATATCAATGTGAAGTAAACAGGCTGCTGTTTACCCACTTAAAACATTCTCATTAGGCTGGATCTGTGTGCATTATAGATGATACAGACACAACAGCTGATTTACACTCCTGCAAATTACATCTGACAGGTCCGCCTCTGATAGACATTTAGGGGGAGCCCATTGCTTAATATGAAGGAGCCGCCGAGGTTACGGGGAGCTCTCCTCTCCTCTCCACGGAGCTTCTGTAATCTATACAGTAATACGAGCTTTTGTTTGTGCTCGCTCCACAGAGCAGGTGCTGGTCTCTCTCCCACACACAGGGGGAGGCAGGCCGTCTCCCTGGTAGCCCAGCAGTAGCTCTGGAGCCTCGCTGCGGCGGGGCGGGGGGGGGGGGGGCAGCTGCCCCTCTACACTTACCCTGTTGGACTCAATCATGCCTGTCCTGGCGTGGAACTTGACCGTTTTTAACCTGGCCCGCTCCTTCTTCTCAACTCTGGGGAGGAAATACAAAATCATTTGTTTTTGTCATAGCATGCACATAAGGTGAAAATAAAAAAGGATGCCGACAGTGCCGACATACAAAATCTGTAGACTAATTACTAATTAAATTAACATAAGGAAGGGCTCCATTTAAAAGTAGGATATTATTTACATACATTTTGCAAGGAATCGCATGTTAAATTAAATGAACAGTGTGAATTAAATGAATAAAAGTTATTAGTAGGGATGCTCCGATCAGGGTTTTTGGGGCTGATCGCCGATCACGATCACCAGAATCAGAATCGGCCGATACCGATCGCCGATCATAGGGTGGGTGGGGGCTATGGGGATCTTCCATCCAAGTGTTGTATTGTGAATTGTGTAGCAGAGTTTCCGTTAGCCGGTAATTACCGGACTATGACCGGTAATATATGCTGATGTTTAGAAACTCAGTTAATAGGGCTCATTTTTATATTGCTTCAGTTTATAATCGTAACGGATCAAAAAGTTCAGATACATTTTTCAATACATTCCACAAACAACATAATTATTACATTCAAATGATGTACATTATTCAAGTTTACATTAACTTTGGATAATAACACAGAGAAATTAGAGGAAGCGCTCTTTTCCTCTCTCTCCCTCCTGACAGCCCGTCAGTATCGTCTCATGCAGCTCACTGATCCAGTAATGAGTGACCCAACAGTGAAGAATAAATATATTTATAACTAGTTTAGCTAGTTCCAGAGGTAGATCAAATAGCTAAGTGTGTTAGGTCTAACTCTTAGTGTGTGTTTTGCCCACCGGTCTGTCACAGCGGGCGGAGCTGTGATCCGGTAGAGCAGCGTGTCTCCGTCAGCAGCAGCTGATCCTGATCTCTCTCTCTCTCTCTGCTTCACACACATTGCATACCGCTATTTTATTGTCTTTTTCGGACACCTTCAAAAAACTGCCAGACTGGTGAAGCCATTTTGGCGAGCTTCTTTTGCAGCGCACCGAGAAAAGTCTCATGTATTTTGCGTCATCTGATCGTCTCTCCTGATCGGCATTTATAGAGAAAACCGACCACACTATTAAGAGTGAATATCGGCCGATAACGATCGGAGCATCCCTAGTTATTAGTGCAGTTATCAAAAGAGAAACTATGGATGTGAGTTCTTAGTTAATATAATAATACATTTCATTTATATAGCACACTTTAAAAACAACGTCACCTCAAGGTGCTTCACAATGCTATGAGGAGAAAATAATAACAATAAAAAGTTATCTAAGGAGCATATTGAATAAAATATAGTAATATAAAAAAAGTTAAGAGCATAAAAGGTTAGAGTTGTTATAGTGTAATAGCAAGAAATGACTTCCTGTATCTGTCCTTGTGACAGGTGGGCGGGGCTATCGATGATGGATAACAGTTTGTTAAATGAAATGGGAACACAAGTTAAAGGCTGGCGATGAACGGTAGTAGCCACATTAGCTGTGTGTTTCGTTAGCAGAGGATGCGTACCTTTTCTTGCTGGGGATGACCCCGATCTGCTCGCTCTCTCCATGCGGGGTGACGAGCCTCGCCTGCCACCACTCGTCATCAGAGGCGTTTATGACGTGCAGGATGTCTCCGTAAGAGAAGCTCAGGCCTTGGCTGGGCAGGCAGCTGTCCCTCGTTCGATCATAGTCAAACAAAGCTCTGAGAAAACAAGGCTTTGGTTACACTCCTTCCTTCCTTTTATCTTGAGTTTGTGTGCTGTGATTCCACTTCACTAAGATTGAATTACCCACACATGGCAGCGATGAATTTCATGCATTATATTTTCAATTTCTTTTACAGTGAAAACTGCAATTGTGATTACGGTTGCATTGATACAAATTGAAAAGCTTGGGACAATTTGAGTCCTATACAAATGCTGTTTAACCTGTTAAGCCCCAAGCCTGTTTTTCAGGGCTCAGACTCGAAAATGACATGCCCAGAACAAATGACCATAACTTCACTTCTAAAAAGGGGTACATTCATAATCTTTTTTCTCAAAGCAATGATAAACCTGTGAGTTGGGTGTAGAAAAGTCAGAATCAATATAGATGTTTTTATTTTAAAGTAAATTCAGATTGAACACAGTAAAAAAAATTAAATGATTGTGTCTGTCCAAAAGAAAAACATTACTTCTAGTGAAAACCACCCGAATGATGGGATAGTAGACTAAAAGCTTTAGGAATCCAAACTATAACATATAATAAGTACCCTGTATCAAGATTGATGCAACACAAGTTAAATTTGACCTTTTTAGAGAGATTTAGAAAAAACCCACTTCTGGGGTCATTTGGGTGAATTTTCCATATCTCTGGAACCCATCGGTCGATTTTGGTGATTGACACCTCTTTTTAACCGTTAGAGCCAATGGAATCGAGGGGGGGGTTCCTAAATCCATCTAAACATTACCATTGGTAAATGAGTGATGCGCAGCCAGCACGCCCAAAACCGGAAGCTGGGTTACAGCTCTCATACACTCTATATGAAAACTCCGTTTATTGACACAAATGTTATGATGGATCAGTAATCATTTCAAAGTGACACAGAGACATTGGATTAACCTTCAGCAGCGTTTTTATCGTTTTAAAGCCCTTGAACACAACTTTTGATCAGAAAACAGCAAAGGCAAGACGTATTTACCCTGAGTTTTGGTCGCACAGTGATGATACTTATACCAGTGGAATCTTTCATATGATATATAGTTTGTGAAGATCCGATGAAGTATAACATATTTCTACCGTGAGTTATGTTCTAAGTGCGCTAGCACTCTTTCGCTTAGTGCTAATTCAGAGGCTCTGCGTTAGACTTGTGTTTTGTTTCGGTAAAAATGGTTCATGTCGTCAGGTAGCTGAGTTTCTTCCCGTTAAGTGGGTATGACACATTCATAGTTTGTTCAATGTTAAGAAGCCCTGAGACACAGTTTCGTGAAAAACAAGCCCGTAGCCCCCGCTGTTCATTTTGGGTCTTTTCATTCATTACAGCACATTTAAAAAATCATTGACAGCCTCAGGTTAATTTACAGTCCTGTTTAAAATGAGGAAATACATTGAAACCACTGCCAAGGGTTGGTTTTGTAAACATAAAGGTGAAAAGTCAAATCCAACTTCTGCCAACACACGTATTCATTCATTCATGAATTTCCTCTGAAAATGCCCACCTGTTGTTGCCACATACTTTCCACTGTGGACAACCACTGTTTATTGTCTGCCAGAGTGCCTCACAATCTCGTCAGACAGGTAAACCCACATTTCATTTATTAAAAAGGTATTAATACCGGCTCTACTGGTATTAACTTTACTTGACCTACAAGATTTTATATACAGGTTATATTGCCAGGGATTTTTCCGAAGCTGCCAACTGAAACTGCAACTGGCAGTAAATTAACAGTGCGGCTGAAACTGTCATGACGCAATCCAGAGGAAGATTATCAGCTGGAGCGCCTAACAAGGAAACAAGTGCAGTTTCTAACACAGGTTGATAAGTCATATTCAAATTCTTAGTCTGAACCACTCCATAGCACCGTGACACACCAACAGAGAGAGTGGGAGCACATGTGACACTGTTTTTTGTTCTTTCAAAAACACTTCAAAAAGGCTCAGCTCCTCCACATTCCTGAGGCGGGGCTGCGAGGACATGGCGGCTCCTGCATCAGCCGGCTAGCTAGACAGCTTTCCCAACATAACTGAGAGCTGAGTCACCGCACAGGAGCAGGCGAGGCTCTACATGCCTCACAGGAATCTATAGGAGACACTCCTCTCTGTAGTGGGCGTCCAACCAGATAACACCTATACACTTTTGATGTATCCCAGTGAGTTCCAAACCTAATCAATCTAGTGATGTAGATATTAGGTTTAGGTTAAGTGAAGCGCTTTAGTGGAGATACGGTGGAGCACTTGGACGTTACATCACCCAGCGCTCTCACCTTGACCCTGGGAGGATGCCACCTGAACGAGCATCCATACAGTTTGGCCCAAAGTGTCATATCTCGGGTCACTTGGACAAGCCCCCGCTGTCAATCACCATTACACAGAGGAGAGTCGGTTTCCTGTGGCATGAAGACAACAACAGGGGATGCCCGTCCGTCGACTATATGATAGTGATGAATTGTTTCAACTTCGTGCCCTAAATAAAATCTTATCCTGTAAAAAGCTCAGTGTGGAGTTTCATCCCTGACAGAGTGGCTGCTTTTTGAAACACGTGCTTCTTCAGCTGTGTTCTCCCCCGCAGAGCACAGGTTGATTACATAACAGTTACTATTTTGAATACAGATCTTAAAAGATTATGTTGTGAGTTCAAGCATGACTGTGTGTGTGCGTGTGCGTGTGTGTGTGTGTGTGCTCCAGCCTTACCTGACATAGAGGGAGCGTTTCTCGCTGGTGCGCAGGGATCCTGACCCTGAGCTCATGCTGCTGTTCATCATCTGCTCCCTCAGGTCGTGGATCTTGGACTCAAAGCGACTGTACTCTGCGTTGAAGAAACGGACAAAACAAACTGTTTCAAAAATAGGTCCTCGAGCATAAATACGTACCCAGGCATTGGAAGAAATGTCATTTTATAAATCGGCCTGGCCAAAGCTATTGTTATTCCTGTTACTAGCCCTTTAACCACCAAGGCAGGCTATGAAACACATATTGTATCGCATTACAGATATGACAGAAAAAACAAACAATTAAAACTATTTTAAATTACATACATACTAATTTGGCTCCACAGCTTTTTTCACTCGTCACTCATGTGAGCATTTTGAAAATGATAGTGTTGTTGTTGCGATAATATCCAAAAAAACACATCTCATTCCTTGACGACCCCCTTGGACTTTAAACTAGCTAAACTAAAGGTTATGGTGGTATTTACAGTGTTCAGACCTAAATTGTGCTCTCTTGTTCTAGATCTGTGAGTCTCAGTTGCTCTGCAGTGAATCGAGGAAAGGTTCAGCGAATCCTTAGGCTGATTAATGACCCCGGGAACAGATGGTTTATCACAGATCTGCCTTACACATCCAGTAATGTCTCATGTCAGGTAATTCATTACACAGATTAATTAAGTTCAACATGGGCTCTTTAGTGTGGTTAAAACAAGGAAAGGCCTCCAACAATTTCAAATGCATGACCATTTGTCATAGGTGCGTAAATCCAGTTGCTGCTCGGGAGCAGGGGGATGATGAATGAATCCACCTGGACCTCCTCATTAACAACGCTCTCATTAGCCGCTGAGCGCTCCGAGCCTAGCTGGAACAAGCCAGGCCACCTCAGCACACAGCGCACCGCTAGATCAACAGACCGGCAGATGCAGCTAGAAAAACAAGTAGGCCGGGCGCTCATGTGATCACACAAAGGAGGCGTTGGGACCACAAAAAAAAGCTGTATAGTGAGCAATCAACTTAAATAGATCAATAAAGATAAGTAAATCTGAATGTTTTGAGAAGTATATTTGTCAAAGCTGACAAAAGAACAGTAATCACAGTTAAAATGATGTGTTAATGATTCATGTTGCTGTCTAGTATAAGATAGAATCCCATCATTATTAAAAGGCATACGATAACATATGCTATTTCTCTAACGGCACAACACATCTATGTCTTCATCATAATTAGCCTATAAATAAAACCAGGGCAAGAGAAAACCGTCTACATTTATTCCACATATCTTATGCTGGTAAATTCCTACCTTACAGCTTAATCATCGTCATAGCTGGCAACACTTCCTGTAACGTGAACAACACGAGACCAAAGTCCAGATTCAGTCCAACAAGCCACCAAGAAGCTTTGAAAAACAAACATCCATGCCTTCAAAAAGGGGATTCAGCCCAAGTTAGTCCAAGCTCCTGGTAGAAAATGTCTGGGCAGGTGCAAAGACAAGCTTCAGGTCGCTGAACTCTCACCCCCTGCCGATACCTAAAGGGGATCCAAAGCAAACACACATCGTGCCCCGGGCCCGGTGCCAGCCCTCCGCCCTGGTCTCTGCTCGAAGGGTTAACAATACAACAGGGTGACGCTGCAAGGTGAGGAAACCAGACACCGCCTGAATGCCTGTAACCAGGAGCAACGTCCTAGCTAGCACTCCTCGCACAGGGACAACAAACGCAGAAGCAGCCATTCAGACTCGTCCACTTGTCTCTCAGGCAGCTGGGGAGAGGAGGGGTTTTAGGGACAAGACAAAGAGTAACTAGAAGCACTCCTAACGCCCTGCTTCACGATAACACCAACCTGAAGGGCTGCGCCGCAGAGACAGCACTACAGGTGGAGGAGCAGAATGCTGTGGTCACGTTCCCAACATCCAGATGATTCACCTTACACTGTGGACGTTAGAGTGCTGCCTTAAGCCTCTGTTGGGAGTTAGGGTGGGAACCATAAGCTAAACCATAAACTGCTGCCACACCTCGTTGTTAATGATATCAGCACACATCATCTGTGTACAGTAAATCACAATATCTGTGGAACAGAGCAGGAAGTTGAGCCACAATAAGTCATCGATAAGTGGTCAACCATTACAGTATTTTTTGAAGACAAAAGTCAAAAATGATCGGCTACCAGCTTCTGAAATCTGAAAATGAAATGGTTTCTTCACTTCACAATATTTTAGCTTTAGACAAAACAGATTTGAAGACGTCATCTTGGACTATGGGACTTCTTTATAGATCAATCTACAATCAATAAACAAGAGCATAAATGGGCAATACAATATAAATCATTAGTGGCAGCGTTTGTAGGGGAACACACCATACTAAATGTATTTTAAATTACTTTCTTGATAAGAGTGCTTTCATTTTCAAATCATTTTGAGAGTCACATGATATGAAACACTAAAGGGAATGTAAGGATACTCCCAGCGATTATAAAGAAAGCACAGTGATACTGGAGAAGGAGGATCACAACAGAGCCAGAGGAAGAAGACACCTTATACTGAAACCTAAATCGACTATTTGTTCCTCACACATGGAGGACATGGAGAAGTCGTGATGGAAATCTTTCCGGATTGTGAGGAAATCAGATGTTCGATAGCAACAAAACACAAACAGAAGTCACAACTGTAACGGAAACGTTTAGACCCAACGGATGCAAATTGAACTGATTTCAGGCTACACTGATGATCAGAGATTGATCTATGCATCCAGCCTGGGACCTTGGTGCAGGTCATTCTTCATCTCCTGTCATCTATTTACTGTGAGTTACCAAGTGGAAAAATAAAAGCTTCATGCAATTTCAATTGACGCCGTCTCATTTTCCAATACAACTGAATCCAAATAAAGCTGCATTTTTAGCTATGCAATGAATATGTTCAACAAAAGGAAATGCCATCAATCCAAATCACAGCTCTCACTGTCCCTGACATTTTCTTAACAAATGTCCGAACAAGACTGAAAAGGCACATTTATTCTTCAAAACTCGCCATTTGTACATCGTAAAACATGCCTGGCACTCAGATGTTAACCTCTTATTGCATCAAAATGTACAAGGCTGTAATCTACAGCAGCTGCAAATATAAAGTCTAAATGATACACTAATAACATAATCATCTGTACCTGGTTACAGACTGAGTCATAATTGTAATGTCTATTAGTTCATTAATGACTAATCCAGTGATCAATCCAGCTTCATTATTCATCCACTACCCACAAACACGATGCTGAATGCTGGGTACCAATATTATAAACGTTAATGCTCCGTCTATTAAAACACTTAATACACAAGAGCTAGCTTATATTTTTAGGGGTGACCCACAGGAAGAAACGACAGCTAATAGAAACTGGGACTATTCTGTATCTCTCACTCCCCCTGCGCGTCCTCATTAGGCGTACAGCTTTTTATTTTGGGGGGCGGTCGCTTCTCTTTTGATCCAGTTATGCAACACAGCAGGCATGTACTTGTAATGTGAGAGTGTGTTATGTTCTCAGGGATAGTCCAGCCAGGGCAGACACACACGCCCTCCCCAATAATAAACCTCAGCACGATGAACATGTAGACCCTGGCTTAGCTATTTCTACAAACGTCTGAAATGCAGACCGGTATGAGTACAATATAAATAGAATCCTAACAAAAAACATTCACCAAAATCTAATTAAGAGCACTGCTTTCACTTTCATGCTGTGTTATATTTCTGCCAATTAACACATCATTGCATCAAAAGCAAGACTCAAAATAAGTTTCGTCTGCACTTCAATTCAGTGCATTTCCTCTTTGCTCATCTGCGGCATATAACTCTTGTACTCAAAGCTGCAGCCACAAAATTTCGGAAAGTTGTCACAGCACACGTTTTGAATGACAATATGGCAGCCAATCAATTGTTGAAGCCAAATTCATGATCATGATCAATATGTGACTAATTGTGCAGCCCTAGCTGAGAGGCCTTTGAGTTCAGCATTTCCTCCACAACCCTCCTCTCATTTCCTACATGCAGATTTGTGTGTAATTACGCTCCTTGATAGTGGGGCAAGGCAGCGTGTGGATACACACCCCTCACTTCCATTCCTCCCAGCTGAATGCGAGTTAAAGACTTGGTGATGCTCCAGGAAGCCACTCGAGTCAGCGCGGCGTCCTGCTGCAGCCTGTGTGCTCCACCGGGGCTTCTTGTCGTCTTCAGAGCTGGCCTACTATCAGAGGTCTGTGGATGCCCGGGCCCCGGCCTCTGAGAATACTTTCCAGGCATTTTGCCCTGTGTAAACCAGCATCCACCCTCCACTTCCTCCCCCTTACTCACTGTCCTTGTACATCTCACTGGGGGTTCCTCCTGCTCCAAACTCAAATGAACGACATGTCACACACCGCTTTAGGACGGCAGCAGGTATACTGGCGACAGATCTCAGTTCACCAGTGGCGTGACAGGAAGTCAATCATTTGCCAGTTTGAGTAGTTAGGCATTGTCCACAAATAGATAAGAGTCCTTCACTGGGTTACAAAGGGGGCGCAGAGCTGAAAGCTTGATTTGGTTTGGAAAACAAAGGTTCCCTTCAACTAACCACGCAAGATGCTGCCTGATTGGTCAGGCATGCGAGACAACATGAACTCACATGGACAAGAATGAAGCATTATATTCAGTATTTTGAGGCAGAAAAAAAGACTACAAGGCCGTTCTGTCAGTTTTGATCTCAGTCTTTGTCTTTCTTTAACTTAGCCCGCGCCATTTCACCGATCCTGTTCCACCTCAATCATTATGACCTTGGAGAGTTATTGGACATTCAAGGCTTGTGTTTTATTGAAATAGAAAGTTATATGGAGTTTGAGCATGCCACAACTTATGCCTCTTCACATTCCTGTCATAGTCCAACCTGAGAACTCAGCCTTAGATCTAAAGCTCACAATATCCTTTCCATTGTTGTTATAGCATAACCCAGTATGCTCGAGTACACACATGCAATGAATTACAAAAACACTGAGAAGAATTCAGCAGCAAAAAAAATCTGTAATGTACAGCAAATCTCTAGTACTATTACAAAGAATGAATAGTGCCACTGTGTAAAATCATCTCTTTAAGTAACAAACAACCCTGAGGCTAGCAAACACACACATTCTGCTTTAGTCAGCATGAAAATGGACTTGTGGTTAGAGAGTCCAAAGTGTTGTGAATCATACAAATGTAATGTCAAAGTGAAGAGGTGAGGTCACAGTTTAACACCACCAAGCTGACAAACACCTGTTTGAACACACCTCTGAGTCCCCACCTAAAGCTTTAGGTTGCATAAGAACTGTAGAGCAACTGTTAAATGTACCCAAATAAATCCTGCTGCATGTAAATCACAACATTAAGCGACTACAACTAGCCTCAAATACGAAATGAAATAGAGAAATAACGAAAAGCAAGTCATAAAACCAGACAACTGCTGATTCCAGGTAATGTCAGCTGTAGAAGTGGTTGTGTTGGGCACAGTAGGGCTGAGGCTATCACATGTCCTTCAAGCTAAGGTATTCATTTCAAGACTTTGAAAACACAACGCAGACATAAAGGGAGTAACTTGTTAAACTGACAACAGGAGTAAAACTACAGGTTACAGATAGGAAGAGCGACACTTCCTCGGTACAGTAGCAGTCAAAAATAGACCCGTTACCTCACTCGGTTTGTTCCTGTTTCAGTAATCCAACATCCACCGTAGTGTTTCCCCTTCTTTCCACCTTAATGTAATGCAACTGTGACTATTATTTCGCCGGTTTCTTCATCCAGTCATTGGGGACTTCATGCGGCTTCTGCTCTGCTGTTGTAGTCGAGCCCATCCCCCATTCACACAGGCTGGTAGACAGATACAAGTGGGAAGTTTTTCCGTGTTCCAGCTTTTAGTTTGAACTCCTATTGTACTGTCCTTTGGTGTCGTTAGCTCGTACTTCCCGCTTAGTGTCCGCTTTCCATCGCTGTCCCGGGTTGTGTCCACCAGCAGCGGGGAGTTTGAACAGAAGGACAACAGCGGCTCGTTTGCCCGCCTTGCTGTGGATCAACTCTCAGCCTGCTGCTAACACTAGAGCCGCCCCTGAACCTGAATACTTCCTGCAGCTTTCAGGAGCGCTGCCCTCATTTGATCACGCTGTATCCACCGCCAAATCAGGTGTTTCTTTGCAACGTTAAAGGGGTATAACTGTGGTTTGAATGCTGCTTTTTATTAAAGGTGGGGGACGTTTGAGTGACAGATTAAAGAAATGGGTTCTCTTAAAGCAGCAGAAGCCAAGATATCTTACATTTCCCACAATGCAACTTGACAGCGCCTTTCCTCTGAAATTCACCGCCTGGTAAATGCCATAGGTAAACGCTATTGGCAGTCTTTGTAAAGGTAAATAAAAAAAGAAGGCAACAAAAACCCAAACAATATTTAAAACTTACAAAAGTATTGACTAATGTTGCTTCTATGTATTATTTTGTTCTTTGTTGAATGTAAAATGCTTCTTGCACAATCCCTGATGCTCAATATATATTTGTATATATGTATTTATTTCAACAAGGACCATGCATACAAACACATTAATCTCAGAAAAGAGAAGATATTAATTATGCCAGATTATAGCCAATAGCTAATTTCCATCTGCAGTCCTCACTCAGGCAGATTTTTTTTATCATAACTGAATTACCCTACACTTTGTTCCCAGTTTTTGTTTTTTTAAATGTGATTTTTTATATGATACTGTTTTTCTTTTAATTTGACTAACAACTAACTTGGAAAAAATGCCTGTCCTTTAAAGCAATAGTTACAGATTTTGGGTAATGTTTTTTTCTTTCTTTCTGTATGAGAGCAGATTTATGTCACTCTTTGGTAAACAAAGCACCCATCTGTAGTAGGATAGCCTAGCAAACACAAACACTGGAAACAAGGAGCAAGAGCAAGCACAGCTCTTTTCAAAGATACAACAAATATTTCCCTATTAGCACCTCTACATTTAACACATAATAACGTTTTTGTTTAATCCACACAACATCTGTAGTGTATAAATCCTCATGTCTGGTTTTACAGGGGATTGTGTGAAATAGATATTCATGTGTGATATGAGACGGCCCTCACCTTCAGGCCTGTACTGAGCTATGATGGTGACAGTCTGTCCAGCTCTCTTCAGCGCTGCGGCCGCCTGCTCATGTGTGGCATTCCTTAGGTTCACTCCATTCACCTACAAAAAACAGACAAGAAATCTTTTAGCAAAACAATCCAGTGTAGATCCTAAAGGTGTGCCGCTTGTGTTATTGTGGAGATCTGTAGAGAAGTCGAGCTCATGGATGATTGAAAAGAGAAGAGGTCTAACTAGATGGAGCAGAGCTTATCAAGCTAGATGTTTGACATTTCAGCCTGTGGTCATTTTGAGTGATATTGTTGAATGTGACAGGATTAAAAGTATGTAAATAAATACATTTACATTTTACTGAAAGATAAGATTGCTTTATTTGTTTGGATAACCTTCACTATCACACACAATCAATGCTGCATTAAAGAAATGTATTCAAGCATAGATTGATTCGTTTTTTAAAATAATTTGTGGCGATGTATTTTCAGACTACAAGCAGCTACGTTTAGAGCAACACTGTGTGAAATGGTTAACAGCTATGATCACATGATGTTATTTATTGGTTACTTCAATTCAATGATTCACTAAATGTTCTTGTCATGCAGAGCACAGGTAAGCTCCCTCTGAGTTTCTATGAATGTTATGTTTTGCTCAAGGACATTTCAGCAGGCCAGGTGTTTGCTGGCTTTCTAAACACAAGGCCAAATTAATTTAATATCATTATTCAGGCAACAGGATTTGGCTGAACTGCTTAAAATATGTAACAGTTGTTGATGTGGACAAACAAAGCTTGCTGTTGAGATACTGACCGAGAGAATCCGGTCGCCCCTCCTCAGCTCGCCGCTCAGGTCAGCCGGCCCTCCAGCCAGGATGAAGGACACAAAGATGCCTTCACCATCCTCCCCGCCAACGATGTTGAAGCCTAGCCCTGTGGAGCCTTTGTGCAGCAACACCTTCCTCGGCTCCCTGCCAGACAGAGGGACAGGGTCAGGGTGAAGGGCAGCACCCAGAGCAATGAAGAAATGAGCAGTGGGAGATAAAACGATATATATATATATATATGTATGACCAAAACAGAAACCGCAAAAGCATAAAATTACAGATACACAGAGGCTGTTCCAAACAACAGCCATCTTCTATTGTCTGTGATGCTCTGTATATTTGGAAGTCAGTGCTTCCAATACAACATTTAAATGATTAATCAGTAGCAGTACCACTCACACAATTATGAAACCATTAAACAGTCATATAATAATCGTATCACTAATAAGATGATGTGGATTACACTGATAACAGTTCTGCAATAGATACAATGATGCAATAAAACAAGCAGCAACACATTAGGCTCCAAATGCACATTACCCGCTGGCTGTATAGAACTTTCTGCTTTGCATGTAGATCTCATGGAAATGTACACAGGTGTACACTTTTAAACAGTCACTCATAATAACGTGCCAAACACAATGAGCCCCCTCCTGCTCAACAGGCCCCTCTGCTTTAGCCACTGATCCTCCAGGAGACTGCCTCAGTTTAAAGATGCTAGAGAGGCCCAACCGTTGCTATGGTGCAGCAAAAGCCCTCTGAGGACACACTCCGCACCAAAGCAAACACACACACTCTAGGAAGCCCATCGTTGGCCTCTCACATACAGTACAAATACACACATAAACATACATGCACGTACAAAGGTATATGCACACACAGAGTCGCACAGTGTTTCCACTCTCAACAGAAAACACTGCATGGTTCCCATTAGTGGTCTTCTCTCGCAGTACTCAGCCTGCGGTCTGCAGGAACAATTCCTACTCGATCCCTAATGGCTGCGCTTTGACTCGCTGTTAAGACCTTTTTCGATGGCAGCATTCCAGATTCTCTGAATCAGACCCTTGAATGACTGGAAAGAGCGTTGATTACCCCGCTAATAGTAATTAAGATTATCGGAAAGTTGTGCCCACTTCAGGAAGTTTAACCAGACTGTTTAAGTGTATTTATTTGTCATTTCCTGAAGATGCAGATGGTATTTTGTACAACCAATGAATAAGATCTATCTTGGTCTGCATGATTTCTAAATGTAGTGTTTCACAAGGCAGAGTCAGGGAAATATTCTATCAGATTGTATTCACAATTCTTAAACATGCCTGCTTTTTCTAAAGCCTTTTAGATCTTTTTGTACCTGAGATGAAAAGCTGAAAAAAGAAACCTGTCAAGTATCAAATGCCTTTAAATGTGCTAAAACAACTGCCTTTCCTTCAAAAAAGTCTGAAAATAACCACGCTCCCCATCCACAGCTTTTCATCCCGTCTCGATGAGGCACACAGATCTCCATGGTTACCTTATGATCCGGAAACGGTGCTTGCTTCTGAAAGAGCATTTCCTAACAGTGCATTGGGGCAGGCTCCTCACCAGCGACATGGAGGATGAGATGTTGACTGTGAACATGGTGGCTATGGCACATCGCTCTTACTCCTGGCCCCCTCTGCCTGTCTGACCCTCCACTGAGAGAGGGGCTCCAGTTTTAGAAGCTCTTGTGTTCGGGGCCTCGTGTTCCCTATCTTGTGTGCTGTGATGGGAAGCAGCTCCTCTTTTGGCTGTCACAAACGCTCTCCCCCCATCATCACCAGCAAGGCGAGACCTAACGCTTAACCCTAACGCTCCCACAAAAATCATCTTTGTTCAATTTTCTTCAAGAAGAGGCCAACCCCCCCCTCCCTCACATCTGGAATAACCAGGACTGCATAACAACAAGAGCATTGGATGTGTCGAACTGGAGGTTATCCAAGTTTCATCTCCTGTCACACTATAATGTCCCCTCCAAAATCCTCCAATACAGTACACCAGCATTCCAGTGTGTCAGCCTCGGCCCTCTGGAGAATAGGCAGAAAGATTCCCAGAAGCGCTCAGCTCATTTGTCAGAGTGTAAACAAACATGAACTGACTTTCACGATGTTCTGGCCTTTAATTTGACGCCCCCATAATCTGTGACCTGGCTGCACGCTGGAAGCATGATTCCCTCATGGGAAATATTGTGCAGACTGCTGTGGAATATTTTAAAAGCGTTAGGCCAGCAACCTCCATTTGTACAGTTGGTGCAGCATGCATGAGTGTGTTTCTGCGTGTACAGTCAGTCCATAGGATGTGAATCGCCTGGATAATCTCATGCAAAATGGGAGTGAATTCCTACAGTTTTAATGTCCTCGCTCCCTATCACAAGACCTTCCTCCCCCTCCTTTCCCCCTTTGCCTTTTCATCCTTGCCAGGAATGTAAACAGTTACTGAGCGGTAAAAGCCCTTTCTCTATGCCCAGCCATTTCTCCTGCGACTCTTTTCTCTAATTCAAAACCTACTCCCCCTCCCACCGCTATATTTTCCCTGTCTGCTTCAGGGTTTTGGCCGAGGCGGTTGCAGCTCGATCCTAAAGCTGTGAATGGAGATCTGGGCTGCGGGGTTCAGCGGGTCACGCTGCCCGGGACTCAGCACAGTAATTGGCTCTGCTTGGCTGATTAATGGTGGACACTGCAGATGGACGCCATTTTCCACAGACAGACACTACCTCTCGCAGCATTTTATCCCTCCCTTTCCCCCACAAATGGATTACATCAGCTTATGTATAGAGGTGTATACTGTTAACATTTAAATACTGCTTTGTCACTGTCTTCCTTTTCACTGCTGAAATTTCCCCCATAGATTTTTGGTCACTGCCTCTTCGTCATGGCCGGCTATTTTCTTCTCCTTTGACAGGGAAAAATGTATTCACTGCTAAGGTGATAGACAGTCAAAGATTTTCATGCCTCTCACTGTGACTAAGAATAAAACTGGAGGGATGAATGATTAACACCTAAGACGAGTACTCGGCTGAATCCCGCTGTGATTTATTTTTATTTCAAACTCCCCTTTTTTGCTTTTGCAGCTTTTAAGAAGCTCTTAGCATTTCTAATTATTGATGCTTGAATTATTGAGCAGATCAGTCAAAGGTCTTGTGTTTTTGCATGAGACACACATAGTTACTGATTAGCTCACCTGCTGCTGCAGTCCACAGGCTTCTGCATTTACGTAAGCTGTGCATGAACAAAGCAGCCTTAGAAGCATTGTTGTGTGTACGTAAGGCTGTGATGGTGCACACTGTCACCACGGCACACAGTATGTTTACACTACGCATGCATATTTAAACAGAGGTTGTATCTCGTATAAAGTCCACTGTGGACAGAGACAAGGATGTACAGTACTGACTTATCTCCAGAAGAAAGGGGCAATATCAGATGGAGAAGGGGGAGGATGTGTCTGCGATGACACCACTGAGGGGGATGTGCAGATGGGCAGAGGGCCGATACAAGCTCTGACTCATTCCTCACAACCAGCCTGCTCCACTTCTGCGGAAGCCTGCGCTTACTACAGCTTCCAACGAAAATAACCCCTACTGGCTGGAGCCAATGGGGAAGCTGCAGGGGCGGGAGGGAGGGGTCTGCTATTTGTCTGTCTGATTTGATTGTGATCCAGCTGATTGCTAGCCATGATGTTCTTCGGGACACTTTTTTCTGATTATGCAGCGGACATAAGACAAATAGGTGAATACATGGCCACAGTATGTGAGCCGCTCTCATTGCAGGAAGAATACCAGCATGTATGTGTCAGTGTCATAATTGTGGGTTCAATTAAAGCTAAGGATGCGGCGATACCGATATTAAAATAGATGGATCAGGTGTTAATTTGATTCTTGATTTGATTCAGTTTATATTTTATTTACTGGAATTAAAATTGACTCATTTGTTGCTATATTGTTAAGGTTTACATTCGAATTACAATTCTTGTTTTTATTTTGAGATTGTTTACCAAGTTGCTCGTGTTCCATTTATCATTTTTAATAATATATATAGGAAGCACATTTATATCCATGTAATTATGTGTCAATTTTGTTTTACAAAGATAGGAAAGCAATGTCAAAAAGCCAAGCCTGATGTCGTGTTACATATCAAGTATTTCAGTTATTTACACAGTGAAGCATGCAGCTTATGAATTAGACACTGTGATCGGCCAGGTCTTGAGCAATACAAGACACACAGGTATTGATCCAGACTAAAAAAGTCGGATCAGAATACCCTACTCAGATTGTATGTATCTGCGTGTGGGCTCGCATGTGTCACTCAGCACATCGTGAGCAAATGTCTCGGTGTACACAGTATGTGTGTGTGATCGGCGCTGGCAGCACTGGTGATGAGACGGGTAAGACCTGAGTGCATGGCCTGGTTTTCCCAGTGTGCAGATGAATCATGACAGCTGCAGGACAGTCTGCTGCTACTGGTCCGCTGGCTCGCACCGGATCAGGCTCTTACTCCCCCATTACATTTATGGTAACAGCACGACTCTGTGTTTATATTTACATTCATACTGTAGAGCAGCAGGCAAAACATTCCAACGCTGCAAAGAAGAATATTTATGTTGGGTGGCCCCGGTCAGCCCTCCCATCCTCCTGTACTGCCCTTTCTTATACAGAACAACAACCTGACTTGAGCTACAACCACACCAACATCTCTCTCTCTCTCTCTCTCTCTCCTCTCTCTCTCTCTCTCTCCTCCCTCTCTCTCTCCTCTCTCTCCTCTCTCTCTCTCTCTTCTCTCTCTCTCTCCTTCTCCTCTCCCCTCTCTCTCTCCTTCTCTCTCTCTCTCTCTCTCTCTCCTCTCTCTCTCTCTCTCTCCTCTCTCATCTCTCTCGTTCTCTCTCCCATCCTCTCTCTCTCTCTCTCTCTCTCCTCTCTCTCTCTCTCACAATCGTTCTCTCCTCATCTCTCTCTCTCTCTCTCTCTCACACACACACACGGCATTTATGGCACACAATATAAGCTACATTCAACACAAACACATAACATAGAAAGCAATGGTTCACACACTGAAACACCAGAGCATTCATCCATGAGGTGAAGCAGGGTAGGAAGACGGTGAATACAAAGGAAAACAAATAAATGAAACTAAAGCGAGGCCTTTTGCACATTTGGTTATTCCAAACACATTGCCATAAGTATCACGTATATTATTGTCCTCATGAAAGTAGCTTGGCCCGAGATGGAGGCTTGGTTTTGTCGAAGCCTCCTGACAGATGGAATCGAGCAGCTTGTGGGAGCGTGAAGCCCTTTCAGCTGCACTCCTGTGGAGATGTGTTTGTGAGGAGCAGGTACAGCTCCATTTTAAACTGCTTTAAACAGGGCCGTAATGGTTTAGAATCATACATGTGAGCAGGTTAGTAGCAAAATGTATGGACAAATAATGACTGTGAAATTAAGTAGAGCAAAAAAACAAACACACAAAGGGTGAGAAATAATAAGCTAATTTTTATAAAACGCTTGCTTTTAAATACTACACAATTTGCTTTTGTAGTATTTAGTTTTTCATTGGAAACATAAAAAGCGGCAACATACTAAAAGTGACAACATACAAAGCAGTAAGGTAGACATAAGGTGAGGAAACATGTACATGCAAACACACAAACAGAAAGCTAAAAGAAGTCCATTGCCATCTTTCTCCTCCTCCTCCTCCTCTTCTTCTTGTGTAGTTTGTACACAAAGTAAGGCAGTAGTCCCTGTCTGGCTCTACTCCGGTCTGTTGCCAGATCCAGTTGCTAAGCTATACAGAGGAGGGTTAGCTAAGCAAGGCGTGATGGTCTAGGTTAGTACCTGCCAGAGAAGGGGAGTGGACCTTGGCACAAGGGAGCAGGGGAAGGACAGAAGCCTCTGTAGAGGGCCTGGGGCACCTTGATGTCCCCAGGTTTGTGGATGACACTGTAAATAGGTTCAGCCCTGCTGTGGGGTACAGGAATCACAGTGAACGGAACAAGTGTAGGACACATATAAAGCACACATACCAACAAACAGGCGACAAATGCACATACAAGTCATGTAGACAGCTTGTACAAGGACATTACAGGGCCACGTAACGGACACTCATCGGGTAACACGTTCACTCCACAACACGCAGACACGCATAAACGCCTGCATGCAGTCACGCACACACAGGGGGGAATACAGCCCCCTGCCCCAAGCTGTGGGTTAAGATGACTCAAGGCCTTGTGGGGCACTCCAATCAAGCCTCTATGAATGCTACTTCTGATCCAGTACTTGGATAGGAGGTCAAAGGTTAAAACACAGTCATAACAAGTACAAGAAGTGACAAGAAGCCTCTCTGCAAAGTATTTGGTCAGCACACAGCCACCACACACTGTCCCAGCTAAAATACAGTATGCACCGCCAGAACCCTTATAAGCTAAAACCTATTTTGTCCATGAAACACTTCACAAGAGCGTTTTAAATTGCTGTACGTTCATGTATTGTTCAAAATTAACCACATCACCTTACACAACACCTCTATAAAAAGCAACAAAACGGAGGAAAAGAGAAACCCATGCAAACCTACAAATAATATACATATGTAATGTAGTGATGTGCAATTCAGTTCCACAGAAATGATTTACACTACTGACTACAACCGCATAATGGCATTGAGTTGATATCCACCACCAATGCAAGTTTATGCATTACAATCGTTCATATGTACACTCGTGGAGCCTGTGTGAGGGTCACATAAGAGAGGAGAGTCATTCATGGAGGAACCGGTCTGTAACATACCTTGTGAAGTCTTCCTCCCCCAGCATGTGGCGGGGAACAGGCGAGTACCTGGACGGGGTGACCTGGGGCGGCGGGGTACACTGGCTTGGGCTCCATGGCCCCCATGTAGTTGTGGCCGACGTGGTTGTCTACCATGGTGGGGAAGGCTGGAGGGAGGGCCATGCCAGTAGAGAGAAAGACAGAGTGAGTACAACACACGCAACACCGAGCACTGCACACTGAGCAACTGTAAAGCAAGATTTCAATCAAAATACTCCCCTCCTCTCCCCTTGCTTAGCTTCATTAAATTCTTGGACGCCTGTGGGATCTTGATTATGTTTTCTGATCTGATTGATTGACAACAATTGAACCAAAATATCCTATTATTGATGTTGGATATAGCTTTATAAAACGCCACATACATACATCTGTCCTGAGGCCTTTATCAGCATTTATTGATAGTGCACAAGAAAATAGTTTGCACACAACTATGGCAGTTACAGCAGATTAAAGGTCAAAGTCTCTCTGTAAGCTCTACTGTACATGATCAAACAGTTCGAGCGATCATTTTAACACTTGCCTTGAGTTTCTCTTCCAAATAAGTTTGCCCAATCTGTGGGTTTGTTTGTTTCCAAATCTTCACAATTGAGTTGGTTGGAACAATGATTATTATTAGCAAGAGGAATCGTGGCCAAAACTACAAAAATAGGACCCAGCTTGTACAAAGCCAGAATTTCCCTTTAAAGAACCAAAATGACGTTTAGGAAATGGCCTTTTATTCCCGCAGCAGAGCTTATTCAGTAATCTAGACTTGATGTTGTTTTAAATCTCCTTAGCCTCTTTTCTAAAAAAAAAGTGTAGTCTTTCGGCATGCACACAAAGACAGATCACAAGCATTTAAACACTCTTTTCCCCTGAATCTACGTTTTAGATGGAGGCAGCTGAGCATGTTAACAACAAGGGCTTCAAATCCAGATCAGCTGACCACGGGTTATACTGTCAGAGCGGGGTTAAGTCTGCATTAGAGGTTGGCTTAAACCCTGCAAACATTCAGAACATACAAAAAGCATTCAATAGCCCGCTCTTATACTAAATCGCTGTTCTGAGAACATTTGAGAAGCTGCAGCTCAAGATCGTGGGCTCTCATGAGCAGGTGGGATGTGAGAAACTATCCTCACTCAGTGGGAGGCAGAGAGCTGCGCTCGTTGTTGCTGTGGGTAGGATTGTGTGTGTGTGTGTGTGTGTGTGTGTGTGTGTGTGTGTGTGTGTGTGTGTGTGTGTGTGTGTGTGTGTGTGTGTGTGTGTGTGTGTGTGTGTGTGTGTGTGTGTGTGTGTGTGTGTGTGTGTGTGTGTGTGTGTGTGACCATGTGGGTGTCTGGGCATAGCAGTATTGGGGAGAGAACAGTGATCCAACTCTAAAATTCAACATCTCCGATAAAGATAAAAAAGATTCCTAGTGCAAAACGCTCCTACTGTACCTTGACTTAGAAATCACCCTTTACTTTCAATCAAATACTTTATATAAATAAACCTGTTCTAGTTTTGGAGCTGGCTGCTTATAAAATATAGTTTTTGCATTTGGACTGTGTTAACTCTGTTTGCATCCTGACTGGAGCAACAGGAAGAGGTAGATACGTACTGCTTGAGTAGTCTGGGGGGGCGTACATGTCGTTGAGGTGCACAGGTCCCGGCTTAGCCACCTTGAGGTAAACCATGTCGGAGGTGTTCTTCAGCGCAGCCACGGCCTCCTCATGACGCACGTCTTGTAGCACGATGTTGTTCACCTGAGTTTGTCAAGAAAAGAGAAGAGGGGTGAACAAAATTCCTTGTATCAACACTTGAACACCTCGTGTCTTTGCTTTAGTGTGACAACATCATGCATCACAGCAGCCATCACACCAGCCAACACAATAATGAATCATAGCTGTGAGGTATTGTGAGATTTCGGTGCATTCAAACGGCAGAGAGGAAGGTTGGTGTGCCGCGCGGCGTTAACAGAGGTCAAAGCAGTAGGTAGGGGTTCTTAAGATGTGCTGAATTTCACCAGTTTCTCTTTTCAGATCCAATTCTCTGCAAACATACTGTCAGTCAAAAGTATTTTTTTAACACTTCATATATTACATCAATTTTTTGTTAAATATTCAATGACAAAAAAGTGATGTGCTCTTTGTAAATTACTCACAGTGCAGCATGTGTTAACTGAGCATTGGATGTTTAATTTTTTCACCTTAATATGAAAGTGATACAGTCGTAGCTAATTGCCTTTTATTGTCCCACCTTATTGCCCAAATGGTAGATTATTGATTATGCACAAAATCATAAAAGCTCATGTGGGTTGTACTAGTAAATGTAAAGTTCTTATGTCCCATAGACATTCAGTCATCAAACATGCCCGGCTAAAGCAATAAATGTTTGTTATCACTACTAACAACAATAGCTGCTTTCCTTTCTAAGTCGCACAGAACTACATGAGTATCTAAAATGGGCAGATTTAGATTTGAACCCTCAGTATGTGTCTGTGTCAGAGGAAGGCTCTTACAGCTAGCAGGCGGTCTCCAGTCTGCAGTCGTCCATCTTTTTGGGCAGCTCCTCCTTCTATGATCTTGGTAATATAGATGCTGTTATCTCCCGGGATATGTTGGTTTCCAATCCCTCCAGCGATGCTGAATCCAAGCCCTGTTGAGTAATAAACACAATCAGAAAGTCAATACATGTACAATGAAAAACCTCTGATTTAACCCTTTTTTTTTTTTTTTTTTCAGATTTAATCTCCATTTCTATTGTAGTGTGTGTAGTGCGATGTGAAACCCGACCTTTGGGCCCTTTCAGCAGGTTGACCTCCAGGATCGTTTCGGGTGGAGCCTGCCTCCGTCGGACCAGCAGCCTCACCACTGGCCCCGCCTCCTTCAAGGCCTCCACCGCCCGGCTGTGAACCACCTCGGACACGTCCACGTCGTTCACACGCAGCACGCAGTCATTCACCCTGTGGAGGGAAACCTTTTAATATGAATCCCACACACCTACCCTGTCAGTCAACAGAAGATAGGAGGGACCCTAGTATGGCCAATGTAATCAAAAACCTCCAACGCACATAAAAAAGCACTCCATATCATTATTTTTGCATGTTTTAGGCTTCAGTTTGTGAATCATAACTTTGAGGAAACACAAAGAGCCTGGGGGCAGAGGGCTGTAGAAAGTCTTCCTCCCCCCACAGCTCTGCTGCAGAGGAGATTGAAAACAAGGAAAGGAGGTGAGGTGGAGGAAGGGAGGAAGAGAGGAAGGGAACTCACCCCAGCCTTCCATCCATAGCAGCTGCTCCTCCAGGGATAATCTTAGTGATGAAGATCCCCGGATCATCAGGAATGTGGGGATTGTCTATTCCTCCAGCAATGCTGAAGCCCAGGCCAGAGTTCCCCTGCACACAGGTTATGATTGGCATTTTCAGTATGGTACCATAAACGACAAACACACATACACTTAGATGTAAGTGATGGACTCAATGCGGGCTCAGGGTCAGTGCAATGTGGCTCTTAAGTGTATTAGTATCTCCGAGGAACACGTGATCGATGTAAACTGCTCCAGGGATCTCACAAGGCATTTCTGATGTCCATGTTCTTGAACACGTGTGTGTGTGTGTGTGTGTGTGTGTGTGTGTGTGTGTGTGTGTGTGTGTGTGTGTGTGTGTGTGTGTGTGTGTTTGTCCTTGCACGTGACAAATGATAATGCCATGTATTTCATTAGAAGAGGACTCTTCATTCAAAATGTCACGCTTACTCTGTCAACCCACAGAGAGGCATCAGTGTTACGAATGCCCTGTGTCCACAGAAAAGTGGATTTATGATGTAACGTAAAGATGAGCTGAGAAGCGTGATACAGAGCGTCTCACTCACTGCAGGAGGCAGAAACCACAGCCTCCATGTCTTCCCTGATCCTGAAATGACAGAGGACCCATTTGGATCCAGTGGGTCCGGGCGCACTGCTGCTTCTGACAGCCCTGGCCACAGAGACAGGCAGCAAACAAGACAGCTGAGAAAAGACTTCACTTTCTTTTTTTCTATAATTAATGAGCAACGATCGCAACAAATTAGGACAGAGGGAAGCTGAGGCCTCCCAGTGTGCTGCTCGGGAAGAGTACACCGGGCCTTACCAACCAATGTTACACACCCACAGACCTTTTAAAGTGTGACTTTGCATAGCTTATTTAAGCCCGCCGCATGCAGAAATGCCACTTAGAGAGGAAGGGGCAGAGAGACAGTGTGCATCTATCATGGGATCGGAGGTGCATCTATATGTGGGTTGAGTAATGAGAGTAGAAACATATAGCTCTGCCACTACAAGCTGAACCGCCGCTGACAAGTGCAGTGGTGCCTGCTGAACAATTGAACAGGAGAGCACTTTACATTTCTGGCGTCTGTTTATGACATGTGCATCAGGATTATGTAAAAAGCTATGCCTCACTGCCATTAGTCTGTGCTCATACTCACATGAGGCGCTATAACTGCACTGATGTAACAGCCATTAGTTCACTAACACATAATATCACATATGATTCTCATAAATGTACAGTAATTAAGAGTTTTCTATGGTTTTCATGTTCTTCAAGCCCAATATTTGAAGACTGAGGTTCTTACTACCACCTAGTGGGGAGATATCCATCCATCATGCAGGGAATACATTATAGAGGAGAGTGTGTATTGTGGAACGAAATGTAAAAAGCAACTGGTAAAACTCACCCGCTCTAAAATTATCTCTTCGTATTTGTACATCCCATCACTGCCATTTACCTGTCAAAACAAAAAGCACAATGGTTTGTTACGTGAGACTGAATTATGGCATATTTTAAAAATAGATTAACAAAAAAAGAGAAGCATGCAAATGTTTCAGCTAAATCCTTCACACTATAATCCCTGGAGAATAGGGTTGTGATCAAAATATACTGAAGATACATTCACTAGATTATATCACTTACTAAAAATAGCACGTTTCAATTCCTGATATGCTGCATTCAAATGTGGCTTTATTTCCTAAAATACACCTGCAGTGTGATACTACATGTACATGTGCAGCTGCAGAGTGCACATTCACCACAAACAGGCGGGGTCAATAGGATAATGGATGACAGTCCACATGGCAAACAGCATGTTGCTAGCAGGAGGATGGCTTTTCACATATACTATATTCTCTGTGGCAGCCCCGAAGCTCTGGAACTCACTCCCCCAAGACCTCCGTGAGTCTGAGTCCCTCACCCTGTTCCAGTCCCACCTCAAAACCCACCTCTTCAACTCTTTATCTATAAGCCCCCCCCCTCTTAATCAACTTCCTCCTGACTGCTTTTCTGTTGTGTTTTGTTTCTTTTTGGCTTTGTCTCTGTTTTTTGTTTTGTTTGTATACCCCCCTCCCAAATGTAAAGCGTCTTTGGGTCCAGAAAAGCGCTATATAAAATGTATATATTATTATTATTATATACAAATACACACGCTCATGCGCTGACACAGAGGGAGTGTGAATGAGCCAGATATATACTGTACAGAGAGAGAGAACATATACTTACATAAGGGCCTGCATCTAGTGAGTCTGCGTTGACGATGATGGGGGGAGGGTTGGCCTGTGAATATGAAGAGATACATATTATCTCAGTGTGTGAGGCTGGAAGCACACAGACGTAATGCGGTACACACACCATTACTGGGGAGCAAAGTGAACGGATGCCATGGGAACAGTCGGTGAATTTCCTTGGGGAGGAGAGTGTGTGTGTGTGTGTGTGTGTATGTGTGTGTGTGTGTGTGTGTGTGTGTGTGTGTGTGTGTGTGTGTGGATGTTGGAAAGGTGTGAGGACTGAGAATGAGGACTGGGGCAGAGAGACCGCTGCTTATTAACCGACACAGCCGGACGTCCTGCGGTCACCTGCTAAAAGAAACCAGCTTGTGGTTTCAGCCGGTGGGACAATACGTTTATCCCACATCCTCTTCCCTTTTCACACACACAAATATCACCATGTAGTCAGTGGCGTTGCGCAATATTTCGGGGCTCCCCCGCAGGTCGGACCATGGGGCCCTAAATCAATAATAGAGTGACATGGGATAGACATCGCGGCCACTTTTTTAAATGTTTATTTTTTCAGGCATCTTTTGTAAACAGTAGGCCTATAGGTCAGTAGGAACTTTCTGTATAAAGATACATCTGATTTAAACAGTATAGGGTCAGTAGGAACTTTCTGTATAATATACATCTGATTTAAACAGTAAGGTCAGTAGGAACTGTATAATAATATACATCTGATTTAAACATCATTGACAAATACAAACAAGTGGCTGTGTATTTTTTGTAACATGAAGGTATATTGTAGAACGTTATAGCCTATCATCATTGGAGTTCACACAACGGAACGGTTCACATATATATAACATTCTGTATAAAATAAAAGTAGCCTACAAAAAACAAACAAATAAAACACATCCTATAGGCCAGTGGTTCCCAAACGGTGTGCCGCGGCACACTGGTGTGCCGTGAGGCAAGTCCGGGTGTGCCGTGGGATTTTGTGACAATCATACATTATTATTGCAATATACAACTACACAAAAATAATTATTTTTTAATTTACTATATAAGTACTTTGTAGGTTTATATGTACGTAATCTGCGCGACTTGCGCGTCCACATCTCCACGTGCAGTGCTGCATAAACATGGCTGAGTCAGCGATAACTCTCGAGGGGTGGAGGTATGCCCATTACTTTGAGTTCGTCCGAAGAATAGACAGGAATGTGACGGTGAGGTGCAAACTGTGTCCAGGCCAGAAGCTATTATCCACTGCTGGAAACACCACGTCAAACCTCAACAAACACCTGCAAAGAACACATGCTAAGGTGAAGCTGCTTTGTAGGCCTATTATTTTATACGAGCGCATCTCCTGGCATTCTTCTGCGCAAAGTCCTGTATAACAGTCTTTAAATCTATACTGCGCGCGCGTCGGCTCTCAATACTAAAGACTGCTAACCCAGACAGTCTCTCTTGTGACATTGTGCTCCTCAAATATGTCTTTATTAATTTAAGTTTTGAGAAAGATCTCTCAGCACTGGCAACAGTCACGGGTATAGTTAAAAACAATTTCAGTGCTGTGGCAACATCAGGGATACTTGGCCAAATGGACTGATTTTCAATGAGCAGGGTTTGTGCAAGGTCTTTGATTGTTACACGCTCAATTTTCTTTATAGTAGGCCTAAGAGCATTACGGAGGGACAGGATCTGGAAAGGAAACTCGGCTGACAGGTCGTCTTTATACTGGCCTGATAAAGCACTTGCGGACTCAGACAGATCCTTGTCTGTTGCACGCAAAAGTTTGCGGGGAAGCAGAAAAGAAAATCACTGTGCAACTTCGCTCATTCCAACAAATCGATTTTTGAGTTGGGCAACGACAATATCGATATTTGCGTAAAATACCGCCACTCTAAAATGCTCCCCTGGGTCTTGGAGCCGCTGGTCCTCGCAAAGCTCTGAAAAGTGCCTCTTTGTGCGCCTTGCGTGTCTGTCTTTGAAGAGACTGTGGACACCCCATGAGGATGCCAGGTCTTGCGCGTGCTAGTGTTAATTTCGTTGACTAAAACTATGACGAAATATGTTCGTCAACGACCTTTTTTTCCATGACGAAAACGAGACGATGACGAGACGGCACCGACGGCAGTAAACAATAACTGTAACGAAATCATCATGCAATATCGTTGACGAAAAGTGACGAGACGAAAATGTAGTTTACAAAATAAAAACTATGCCAAAATCTCTCTTTACTTTCGTTGACGAAAAATGAGGAGACGAAATATTATCAAAGATAACGTTACATCTCTGATAGTCGGTTTTTCTCCCAGCAGTTCCATTTCCGGCGCTGCGGCAGGGCAGCAGCTGTGTGTCCGTGCTGCGCGCGGCGGTATATTTGAATTACACCGGGCAGCGGCACACTGTGAACTGTCAGGAAGACTCGGATCTAACTCATGGTCTAACTAACCTTATTTAACAGAAAATAAAATGGCAACAACAGGGCTTGGGAGCAGTGGTCGCACTCGCGTTAACCGAAGACCCCCCCCCCCCCCCGTCAGCGCGAGTGAGAGACAAATTGTGCACTCGACGGATAATAATGGATTATGACGGAAATGTTACGATCCTGTCCATCAAAATGACTGACAACGAAAAAGTCTAAAGCCACCACTGCTTGGGCGAAAGAAACGATGTGATATTTGGGCCCATTTTCGCTACAATGAGGCGGAGAAAAAAAGCGAATGCATTGTTTTATCAGAAGGGAAGCAATGTGGCCATAACACAGCTGGTGAAAACACCACAAACCTGAGCAGATCCTCTCTGCAAAGCTGCATTCTTTTAATCATTCAACCTGTGTTTTTCATCAAATAAGGACAAGATATAATCTTATTTATTTATATATACTAAAATGACAAATTATTGGTTTTGGCTAGACTAGTTTGACTGAAATGTTCTATATAATCTGATGACTAAAAAAGACTCAACAGTTTTCATTGACAAAAAGTAGACTAAAATAATTAGTTTTCTTTGACTAAAATATGACTAAAATGCTCAGACTTTTAGTCGACTAAATCTTGACTAAAATGTTTACTGTTTTAGTCGACTAAAATAAGACTAAAATGCTCAGACTTTTAGTCGACTAAAACTTGACTAATTAAAAACAGGATGAAGGTGACTAAATATGACTAAAACTAAAAAGAAAATTTAACACAGGACTAAGACTAAAACTAAATTAAAAAATAGCTGACGAAATTAACACTAGCGCGTGCGCTTTTAAGCCATCAAACTCTCCTCGGAGTTGGGCAAGTGTATCGGTTGCGTTACCAAGCATTGCTGTCGCCTGTAAGAGGTCCACGTCTTTACGCTGGAGAGCTTGGGACACAATGTTGACTGTTTCAAGGACCTTGCCCTGTATTACAGTCATTACAACAAACTCAAAGCTCTCCATGGCCTTTTTCAAGCCAGTCGCCTCGGCACGTTCCTCGCTTTTTTTGGAGAGCAAGTCTATCTTAGTTAGCGCTTGCATAATGTCAGCATAACAGAACCGCAATGATTGGACGGCGTCTTGTCTTGATGTCCATCGTGTCGGGCATAGTCTCTTCAGTGTAGGCTGGCCAGCCTTGGGCACTGAGAGGTGTGTTTCCAAAAGCTCCCATCGTTTGATGCTTCCACTAAAGAATACATATAGCCTTTCAACAGTGTCGTAGAAGTCTTTTATCTCAGGTATATTTTGGCATGCGTCATTGAGTACAAGGTTTCAATTGTGCGCAGCACAATGAATGTACACTGCGTTGGGCTCTTTATCCCTTATGCGTTTTTGTACACCGGAGTAGATGCCACTCATATTGCTAGCCCCGTCATATCCTTGTCCGCAGCACTTCCCAAGTAGTATCCCCTTTCTCTCCATCGATTCGAGAATTTCTCTCTCTAGACCTGCAGCAGTTTGGTCTGTGACTGCATGGAAGCCCAAAAAACTTTTGTTTATTTTCACCTCTGTAGGGTTTCCATTTTCATCATTTGCTATAGTAACATATCTGAACACTTGACTCAGTTGGTCTACTTTTGAAATGTCCTGGGTAGTATCCATTATAATCGAATATAATTCTGAATTCTGTATGTCTGTAATGATTGTGTCCTGCACTTTTTTTGATAGCAATGAAATTATTTCGTTTTGAGTTTGAGGACTTAGGTAGTGCACCTTCTTTTTGCTTTCAATAAGCCTTTGCAGAACTGGATCATAACGCGCCATAAGTTCTATGGTAGATAAGAAATTACCATTATCTATATCACCTATTTTCTCTCTGTGACCCCGGAAAGCAGAGTTGCGAGAGGCCAGTGTTAGTGTAACATCAGTTATTCTGGTTAGGACCTCGGTTCAAAACCCCACCTCTCTCTTAAACTCAGATGATATTTGCGCGTCAATGGTCAGATTATTTTTCCACGTATCATACACGACACATGCTGCCAAATGAGAGTGAGAGAATTCGTGTTCCTTAATCTTTTTAGAGAGACCCTGCCAATCATTTATTCCTATTCTCCACGCTTGGTGGAGGTGATGGGCAGATGGTCTGTCACCGAACAGCCAGCACTGCTCACAGTACACCCGGTCCATAGATGGCGAGTAACATAGCCACTTGCGCGGAATTCTACATCCAATTTTGGATGTTTTGTTATAGAACTCTTTTGAAAAGCACCTTCCCTTCCCATCCCTTTTGAATGGCCCTTCAGGCTTGCATGGCCCGTTATTCAGAATGTACCGTTTAACATCATCGTCTTCTAAATCTACAGGGAATTTCCCCCTATCAGTAGGGTATTCAGTCACAGAGTTGTCGCTGGCCAACGTGTCCCTGGGGTGGGTGGGAGCTGCTGTCACTGTCGGGGCACGGCTAGCTGGCTGGGCAACCTTGGCTATGTCTGAACTGGCCTCGGAGGGGCTGACTTCTTGCTGACCTGCAAAAATGAACGGATTAGATTCCAATTCCAATGTAACCTGTAGCATACTCTTACTGGTTATGGCGAATAAAACTTTCTATTATTCTAATGTCTAACCTGTCTCGAAGCGCGAGGCACGACTAGCTG